TATGGCAACAGGAGTCGGCAATATTGATGTGTTCTCTCCCAAATCAATGTTCATAACAAGTTGAGGTAGAAGTTTATTTTAACGATAACAAGTAATAACTGTATGTAAAATTAAAATGCTGAAACACAATTGATCATAGTTTGATGATACTACCAATTACTACCAGCATATTGATGATTTGTTATTTTGAAGTGAGCTAATATCAACTAAGCCATTTCCACCACATATTTTAAACTATTTTTAAACTATTTAGGAAAAATAATTCATAGAAAGATTAAATAACAGCAATTTATAAAAAAAACTAATATTTTGTGAAAAGTGAGCTCAACATACTTCTTCTGAGAATAGAATAACCTTCTTAACAAAAAAGTCTAACCTGTATTGTTTTCGGTGAGCTGTCAAATGTCTGGTCAGCGTATGTTTTACATGTAACTACCATTATTTATCTCCTACATAATTTTGAAATGACGTATTTCCTATTAATTTGTAAGTTGTCAAAAACGTTTTAGTTATTTTGAATTTCGCTAATGACAACTATGTTGATAACATGGTAACAACATGGTACACTCTTCCGTGGTGTTATTTCGTTATGCAGCTTAAATTAATTTTAAAAATAGTAAGCGAGGTCGATACAATTATTCCGGGACCAAGGCAGTGAATTACCAGAATAACAAGAACCGGTACGTCTTTGCAGCCTTATTTTTGAAACCTCTTCACACCAAGCACGAAACATGAAGAAATATTGTTTCAGTTTACTACTAGCTAGATTGTAAATGGCCAATTGACTTTTACCAACAAATGTACCCTCAGCATCGAGTAATCAATAATTTCTGTACTCATGCGCAGTTCAGAATGACACTAGTTTGTTAAATGTACAATACAATGAGGCCACTTAACTTGCATATATAAATTATTGTAGTAACACATTCATTGCATTACAGACTTACACATACAAATTATATAAATGCAAGTATTATACAACTGTAACCGTAATGAGATAAGTTACAGCGTGCCGTAAATTTGCGGTATCTTACGGGGTATTTTCATCTTACCATATTAGAAAATGCGAATTCTAAATATGGACTGATTACCAGCGTAAGCGTTCTTTAATAATAAAAAATAAACATGGCTGCCACCAAGGTTTGACCGTACTCCACAAAAAGATGTTCCCTGATTCTGTTTCAATTTTTTTGGATTTCGACATTCCCATGATGTATCCTTGGAAGGTACATATGTATAATGTTAAGGTTATTATGAGAATACCTCAAAGTTTGCACTCAGACAGGTGCGCGTCGGTCGATGCTTCAGCTGCACTGTCTACTTGCATACTTTGAGGTATCCTCGTAATAACTTCATATAATTTATATACTATCCCTCGCTAGAGAATCATAAGTATACGTTTATTAATGAACAGTTGACACGACATGTGTGAATGTTTAAGAGCTGTATATACAAGTGTACCAAAACCTGATTAAATATGACAATATACCGTCCATCAACGTTTTCAGTGCCAAAGTCAACTTTTATCGTGTCTTATTAAATAAAACCCGTTGTTTATTTTTCACATTTTTGTTAAGTTGGCAAACTTATCAAAGACAATTTAGAAGAATAGGTAATTTGCACTGGAAAATATAGCAGTTTATATGTTAAATATATGTTTTACAGACTGTTGTACAGCACTTGCAGGGCTGATTTTATTAATTCGTTTGGTAAGGTGAACGGCAACAAAGATGGCTGGCTGTCGAATCGCTTGGACGACCATCCACTACATTTATTTTTGTACAATGTTCTAACTCTTATGCCAAACGATATTATTACTTTTTTTTCACTCCTCGCGAACAAGTGTGCATACATTTTAAAAATAACTTTAATTGTTTATTTCCTCTCTATTATTAGAGGCAGGTGTACTATATTTACGTGTATGTAACGAGGGAGGTCACCCACGTATTAACTGCCACATGGCACAGACCATCGTTGATCAAAGTGCTATACGTAACAAAACTTACACTGACAATGTGCTCCAGAAACGAGTTTGCATACATGACTATATGCAATCTGCCTCTATTGCCTAAATCAAATTCTTTAGCGTTTTCGGATTACTAATCCTTATTTAGTAGTCTATTTTCGCATTCTGGTATGTCTGCTTAAGATCCTAGTTGTTTTCGGTTACAAGTCCTTTTTGTACGTCATGTGCAACGGTGGATTTACTGGCAACTGAAACTCGTGAAAAAGTGTCCTGTCACTGACATACACCTTAGCAAATAGTCCATGACATATTTCTTAGTCTCAGGAAATTCATTGGAAGAAACTGTGATTTTTGTCTCATCTTTTAAGACATTTCACGAAGTACAGGTCCTCTCAACCACTTAATTCGTGACAAAAAATCGGCATTCAAAAACTCCAAATCTCCACACAAAAAAAATCAAATCAACAGGTTGGCTCCCATCGAACTTTAACGTTAACTAGTATACTATACGATGTTAAAATATATAAGTACTGTGACAATGAATATCGGAAAAATTTCTCAAACAAAATTGTCAATCGCTCCCAAAATCCAATTATGCTGAAAATACTGTGGCAAAAAATCCAAAACAGATCGTTTTGCGATTTGTAAATAGGTGATTTTCCGTACAATTGCGAGATCTCGCGAGATGCATGAAAGACGCTCGTCGAACGTCTGCCGCAAAAATCGAACGATTTGATTTTGAACTAGAATTTCTTTATTTCGCAGCTTACATTGACCGGCCGATCTTCGACAGAGGAATATTGCTTCCGAATACCCTTACTTAATCGAAATTGCCTATCATCAAATGTGGACAGCACATTATTAAACATGGAAATGTCCCCGAAATACTTTCGCGTTTGTCGAATCCCACGTGATGTTTGACGCGACTACGACGCTATGACCTTTGTTTGTCCTGTTTTTACGTTCGATTTCACGCATAACGCGTGATTCTCGCAGTGTACGGAAAATGGTCTATTGTAAACCTGGTGCTTTGTTAATTTAAAGCTGAACAATAAATTTGTTTTGAAATTCGCACCCTCCTCATATTTGTGTGTCAATTCATGAGTGCAATTTCCTCTTTAGAATGATTTTCGGCAGCGAAATGAATGCGTTTCGAGATTATTGTATAATCATACAGATTCATTACATCTAGTGTTGTCCTTAAATCTGTTTTATTAAAGTGCATCGTTCGCTGGTGTTGATTGCAATCCGCGAGTATTTGAGGCTAAAAAACAAATGCATAAAAATGACACAAATGACGCACACATTTTCCCTGCCAGGATCTATTTCAAATATTGTATCACATTCCAACATGGTCGTTGGTTCTTTAAAGAATGTTTACATGATAGTTAATTAATAATTAATTAATGTCAGTGGAATAAAGGAAAGGGCTTGTATGGCTTATTTAAGCTGTCTATAAGACATAAACAACATTCAAAAGACAATCTCTATAAACAGGTGATTTAAAGGCTGCATCAAATACATTTTGAAATCTTAACACAAATGTATCAGCATGCTGTTCTCGGCATTCATCAACAACATTCATTTTCTTTAGTGTAATAAATACCTTTCATATTAAAGTGGAGAGTTCTGGAGGATAGTTTAAAGTGTCAGCTAAAACTACAAAGCTAATTATAATATTCCTGCAGCCTAAGTTCGTTTCACGCATGTCTATTAATCGTCGCACATTGTAAAAACACGCGGATTGAATGACACCCAAATTAATAATTATGATACATTCCTTAAATTACTTGTTGGATCAACGTGAACATACTATGTGAGTATATGAAGGAAACCGAACGTGAATAACTTATAATAACGTATATAATATAATACGTCGCTCTATTGTACAGTGAATGTGCGATCAAAATGTACGATTTATGTGCTTTTATTTTTCTCATACAACAGCTAAGTAACGAAGAGCAAATATCTTGTAAACCTAGAAAGCGCCATCAACTGTGCATTAAGCACTGATCGAAACATATGTTCTGAGCATAGATGCCCATTATGTGATTGCCGTCTAACGTTTTATATATACAGTAGGTTATATCTTAGAAATGTGAGTACAAATAAGTATCCTAACATGTGTTCATAATACAATTTTTGCTTATATTTTTGTCGTATTCCATTACATTAATCGGTTTCTACTCTCCAAATTTATTGATCAGTGCGAGTCAGTTAACGCGTATTATTTGTTGCTATACACAGTTTGCAACAATTATACTAATTAAATCAATTACATGATTGTATCGTGTCTGACTCTTTTTCAATAACGTATTTAAGTGATTGTTCTAAATTACCTGCCATTACTTATACACTGATCGACAGCGTTACGCGATGTTGTTACTGTGCTATTTAGTCTAGGTAACAGTGTTCTCACAGACTGTGGTGTTGGCAACGGTACATACGGTATGCTGTTGCGCTAATAACGAATGATATATGAATAACATGTCGTACGTTGGTATGCAAGTGACCGTGTTTTAATTCGCAGTGATAGTGTCTCAGTGATTTTACATTATTCGCTTTAAGAAACACATCTCTGTGAAGCAAAGAAGATGAATGTCACACACGTATACGCCTTTAGAATATATATCATTTAACACAATATTAATATCGTTTTTATTCTTTTCATACAGACGTGTACACTACTTTAGAGTACGTTTTACCTTACCTCAGTATGACATTTTTACGTGCGGCAGTTATAATAATACTGTTCAGGTAAGACGTAAGGCCAACAAACATTAATATTGCATGTTTCTCGTCCAACAATGACTTATTCGTATTTATAATTGACATATAACTAATATGATAGCATGTCATCTTTACGAGAACCATCTAGACATTACATTAAATTATTCAGTTTTATTCTGCACACTGTTTCTGTGTTGATGACTATAGACACATACTTTTGTAGAATATATTAGTTATCAGTATTCGTATAAAATATTCAACTTTGTCGTTTTCATCGTAACATTTCCAACTTTACGACAGACGAACTGATAAAATAAAGATGAAGTGCATGCATTCTGGCATTTTATTATATGTCTGTCATCGTATTCTCATAAGTTACAGCGTTGTAATTGGCACTGTAGCAGTGGCAGTAAATACAACTCAACCCAATAGAGTGAAATTTGTGAGCGGGGAGTACATCAAATGCAGGATATTTGAGATGGTATTTCTCTGCTAGATCGTGTTGACACCATTGACAAATTTTATCGTACGAATGTCTGGCATTTAAATTCTTAATAAGCAAATCATTGACAAAATATTGTTTTATGTGGTATATAATACAGTAAAAATAAAACAGTTGACCAAAATTCTAAAATTTGTGAAATATTCAATTGACTTAACTTTTTGAACATAACATTTTCGTGTCCATAGAAACACTATGCAGATCCTAACTATTCATTTATAATTATTCCCAAAAGTTTTGATTCCGTGGAAACCATGTCCACAATAATTCCGAAATTTACGTTTTCATGGTAACTTTACCCATATCTGTACCAGAATTTGAGGAAATATCATCCACAACACAAAATGTTAAATAATAAAACAAATTCAGATAGTAAAATTATACATACGTCTTTTATTTTGTTTAAATCGAGAACGTCCACATCCGTATAGATAGTATTCGAATAAATTATGTTTGTTTATATACATAAACTAGTGTAATTGAGTACACACATATTATAAAGATAAAAAAGAAAAAATGTTGTTGCCGGTAGACGATCCATGGTTACATTTTAAATATTTTCTGAAATTAAATGAAATGAATATTTCTATATGTCTTCTGCTTTGTTTTAGGCTGATATTTATATTTATGTACTGTTATTTATATTTATATACTGTTATTTATATTTATATACTGTTATTTATATTTATGTACTGTTATTTATATTTATGTACTGTGTATACTGTTGTAGTGCAGACATGCTGTATTGTATTGAATTTTTTTTCAAATTAAATGCACTAGCATTACTGTGAATTATTTTCGTTCATTCACAAACAACATAGTTTAAATATATTATACGATTTGAGTTTTAGTGTGCACAAAATTGTGCATTCTTTTCAAGGTACTGTGTATACTGTTGTACTGCAGACATGCTGTATTGTATTGAATTTTTTTTCAAATTAAATGCACTAGCATTACTGTGAATTATGTTCGTTCATTCGCAAACAACATAGTTTAAATATATTATACGATTTGAGTTTTAGTGTGCACAAAATTGTGCATTCTTTTCAAGGTTCAGCCTAAACTCAGCAGCCCACTGTAACTTTGTGTTGTGAAATGTACGAGTTACATTCTGAAAGATGTAAAGACTGATACATTCCACGTCAACTAATGTTTCGATTTGTAATGACGACCCTAGAACAATGTCGTCGTAATTTGCTGCAGTAATTATGAAAACGTAATTTGATCAAATTATTCCTAGTTTTCATGTAACAAATTCAAACAAAAAAAATCTCGTGTTTCATGAAGGTAAATGACAAATCCTCGTATATCCTCTTAAATATATCGAATTACATTTACACTAATTGCTAACCCTACAACTTGATATTCACAATTGTGTTGTTGGTGTGCCAGCATTCAATCAAATAAGAGCAATATGTTTATCGTCTATACGTACGGTTACAGGCGTGCGACCATTTCATCAATATGAATATGGTAGTTTGAAATAAACTCACTAACGCTTTGTACATTGAAACTACAAGCATCCATACACACACACCAGGTATGTTCTACCGAAGAAGTTTGGGTGAATGAATGATCTACTTATTACAGCCACAATACAGCATGTTCCCTTCATGTTTGTGTAATTCAAGTATCAATTAAAATGTCAATGTTTTATTTTACATAGTCACATGACACGAATGGATGATGTCACATCACCAGTGGCGATGGACACCGCAAAGGAACCGGAAATAACAAATTTGAGCAACGTGTTAGGAGCTGACTATGATAAACAATTCAGACCGAATTTTCACGGTAAGCTTAAATCATTCAGTTGATTTACTTTTGTATTTGCCACTTCGTAAGTGTTACATGCAAAGGTCATGTGTTCACATCAATGGGAACAACAACGTTTACATTTAGTATCATTAAATATTCATTAGTGTTTTCACCAAAAAAAAATAATATACAACTGTATGTATTTAACTAATAGTTATTATTCCAAGAACAGTCATGACAATTTGGAATTTTAGTCGAGACATTACACGTTTAGCCGTCGATATTTCGCATACAATATTATACTCAAATTATAATAGCCATATTAAACCAGGGTAACCAATGTATCTCATTCTACTTAATAGAGTAATCTTTCTGAAAATGTATCAATTGCAATATTGGCGTAGAAAATATATTGGTGAAAACATATGTGTCACACAGTGTATATTTATTGATTCAGCCATTATCTTAATTGCTCTCGTAAATCTACACAGCATGCAGGTAGCATAGTTCTAATTTTGACGACGAAATAAATTAGTTGAAATGAAATAATTCCATTTATTTTTTATCATCATTTAAAACACTGGCACAAACAATGATGGTAACAATATTCAGAGTTACAGTAATAAATGCAGCTTTTTGAGAAAGAAAGAAAGAATGGAATATACTAACTCAGCCTGTACATAAAATATATCCATCTATTGTTACGTCCTATTTAGCATAATAGTCTATTGTGCGTGAGTACAGTCACATCTCAAAAAAACGCAGGGTCTTGTTTTCAGGAACATAGCAAAGAATGCTTTGATGTATATAAATAATCCAACGGTCATGTTTATGGGAATACTTTTTCAAGGTTGTTTAAATAACGACTTATTATCGTAAAAGGCGTGTTCCATTGTTGCATTCATACGTCGGACCTAATATCGAATATGAAACAGTGTAACTTCCACTGTCATCTAAATAAGAAAATATCTACAATTTCAATTTTATGATTTTCATATTTTAAAGTAGTAAAAACTCAGAGACTGATTGTAAATACACCCAATAACTGATCACTTGTTACATATATTTGTTTGTAAGTTTTGCGTTTAGTTTACTATCATGATGTTGCCTGGCTGGACATTGGCCGGGGTAAGTTGAATTTGGGATATGAAACTTTATTAGTGATTTACCTACTGGAATCATAACGTAGGCATAAAACAGTAGACTCAGTAAATCAGGGAAGTCGAATACAAAAGTGTGTTGCGTTTCATGATCTAGAGCGTAACAATGTGAATGAATTTATTATTGGTTGGAGGTTAAACAGAGCATCTCCGGAAGTCACGTGTTCACCTTGAGATCAATCGTCCTCACGCAAAATATTAAAACATACTCTACTTAGGCCAGAAATGGATATGCTGATGCAACGGATGAGTAGCCAATCAATTTTACTTGATCTCAGATTGGTAACATATTGACACAGTTGTAACACAGAGCAATTGTACTGCTAAAATAATGAATTTCAGAAATTCACGCTCACAAATGCATTTTCTTACAGTCAGCACACACGCTTAATGAAAAACATAATAGCATAATATTAGGAAAATAAAGTTATATTATATAACAGATAAACAAGTGTCAGTCTATTTTTCATGTCTCTTAGCAATTAATCGAACAAATAAAACATATGTGCAAAACAGAATCAAACTTTTTTGATATTTCATGTTCTTCCATATTCAAATGTTACTTAATTATGTTTTATAAACATAATCTTTCATTGTGATTACGGCTTTAAATAGTATAATTTAGGTATCAAGTGAAAGGTCGTAATGTTGTTCTAAAATAAGCATCTCAAACAGATTATATAGTTCCAACACACTAATAATTAGCAATATTTCAAAATTATAAATAAAAATATTTTAAATGTATATGTACTGGTATTAATTTTGCGATAACTAAAACCATAGAAAAAACTGTATCTGTTTATGCTGCAGCTCTGGTTACGACCAAGGACAGATGGTTGCAATGTACGTTCTTGAAAAATATGAATATGATTCTGTTTCTCACAATAAACAAATAAATACATGGTCTAATAGATTTACAAGTAATATGGTAGCATAGAACAAAGTCATGTTATCACTGATCGTGTCGGTGATATATATTATCTTTGTTAGAGTTTTAATGAAGCCATACATTAACAGAATGGCGTGGTAAGGATTTTCGATTAATGAGATATCGATTTCACGTCAACATTCATGTTCTCTGCAAAGAGATTCCTCTGGAATTCAAATAACCGCGACAGGCTCATAACGAACAATTAAACATGCAAAACGAGAACATAACTTACGACCACGGCAATGTGACATGCCACTGTATCTGCACAAAACAGTTACAAATAGCGTGTGATGTACGCGCATTCACAGTTGCAAACTATTTTTTGTAGTATCACTCAAATAATTACACTAGTACAAAGCCATCTGTGAATATATATATGTCAAACATAATTTCCGAATGTGGTTTTTACTTGTCCAACGTTTGATTAGAGAATATTCAAAAAATAAGGCAAACCTATAACAACTAAATAATTACTGGATAACAAGGGAAATCCCCAGCACCTAGTATAAAGCAAGAAATCCACATAACTATGCTGTTACTGACATGCTCGCAGAATAACAGTAGTTGTACCACCTGTTTAAAAGGCCTTCCACTAGCCAAAAAAGCAGGGTGATGAATATTGATTGATTGATCCATATGAAGCTTGTGTATGATATACGTGACAAATGTACTCAATTCACGCATTGCGTAATAAACGTGCTAGCACTTCTATAGCACATTCCATTTGAAACCATTTTTAATCACAGAATGTTGTTTGTATATAAATTCACGAGAAGAAGAGGTAAATGCAAAATTTATTCTGATCCTAGCTTAACGTTTTTTTGGAATCTAATTTGCATTATATATACATATATATAAAATGTTGTAGGACTCGGTAACAGTAGTTATCCCGATCATTTATTTTGCCTGTTCCTTGTTTAACCAAAAGCTGTATGTATGTCTACCCTAAATAGAATGCTACTGTTGATGTATTCGTCCTACATTTATTCAATGCGTGTTTCGAATCGTATGAACCAATTCAAGTTAATGTACGTATTGAGATTTGTGAGAGAAAATAATTGAATACTAACAGTTTATTCACTCATCCCCAGGAGCAGCAGTTGTTGTAACAACCAGCGTGCATATTAATAGCTTCCACGCAACAGCAGGAACGGAAATGGTGAGTAAATATGAGATACTAATAAGGAATCCTTAAATAACATACCAAAATCTACACATTACATCTCATAATATGTGTCAATTGCATTTTTGCATGCAGTGCGACAAGTATACTTAATACATACATTGCACTTTGCCACTTAAACCATATCTAAACTACATTAAATATATCAGATGTTTGGGACTACGCATGGCATCGATGATGTTGGTAAAATAAATAAATTATCAGCCAGTGTGCGAAATACCAGTTTAGCGCATGGGTCTATCTGATTTGTTTTTTGCTTTAACCTCAATACAAAAACAGGTCAGCGTATTATATTTCTGTTTTATTTACAATACTTTACTAAACCTCAAGTAGCTCGAATTTTGCTTCAAACTAAACATAAATGCAGTCGGAGTATTTTCGCAAGACTGCCATGAAAACGTTCTGAATGATTGAGAGTGTAAAGCGGAATTAAAATTACAATACAATAATTAGACGTTGTTACTGTGTCTGGAAGAATCGATTACTAAAATGTTCATATAAGCATTTTCGTATGGTTTTTCATTAGGATTATACTGTTACATTATTCCTTCGCACGCGATGGAACGATCCACGACTACGATACCATGATGCCGCTAACCACATACTGACATTTCATTCGGATGGAGTTAGAGAAGTCTGGATACCACCACTCTTTTTCCCAGATGAGAAGTCTGGACACTTTCATAAACTGACAACAGAGAATATACTTTTACGTATTTATCCTGATGGAACTGTACTACACAGTGCAAGGTATGTCTTATTCTCAAAGTTTGAATGCAACTTATCTAGAGTGAGTTAATTGACATAGTACATTGAATACACTTATAGATGAGAAATGAAAACACACAAAACAATGATTACCATACTGCCTCTCAAATTTTATATTTATTTTGACAGGTTCACTATAACGTTAACCTGTATGATGCGACTAGAGCGTTATCCAATGGATGAACAGGAATGCAACATTGAGATTGAAAGTTGTATGTATTACTCTTATTAGTATATATATATATATATATATATATGAATGTCTGATAAGAACTGATGATACATTGGTTCAGGTAACATTATTAAATGAAGACATGCAATATAGCATCAACAGGCAATACACAGTAGTAATAAATATTGAGGGCTAAATAATATAAAATTATGCAAATAAAGAAATATGAAAAAAAACAATAATGAATATTTATTGTAACAATAACCCTAATCACAATTCACAGCTGCATCACAATGCCAATGTCAGCAAGAACTTACATCGACAAGTGAAAGGTTTCTTTGTATGTTGATTCAATGGCTACCTGCTCTAGATATTGTCAACTCACTCATAAAATGTGGGGGTCTAAGTAATCATAATCAACTGTACAACCTAAAGGCCCAATTAGACCGAATTCTAGACAATTATTGAATAAATTATTACAGTCTAAAATGTTCAACAATAAAGAGTTATTTATGAGGTTTGATATATATTAAAGTGCAGAGATATTGGTCTGTAATTTACAATTTCATAGAGCTTGCAACATTTAAAAGCTGCTAAAACATTTGCTTGTTTGAACATTTCTGTAAACTTATTGAAAGTATTAAAACTAGAAATCCAGACAGTCAGTTACATCATTGTCGTGAATCAAAACAAACTGTCCAGCAATTATGTGTGGAGTATACACTTCCTGAGCTTCCAATCTTACTATGTTTGGGATGTATTTGTTTTTAGATTGATGCGTGTTATTTTTTTTACATTTTATTACACTTGTTTCATACTCTTTAAACGTTGGCCTAATTGCTGTCTAAAAATTCTGGCTTGCACCAACAAACCCATACTGTGAAACTTATAGATATAGCAGGTGATACCAAGATTCCATAGACATATAATGTGTGAGTGTAATTTACAGTTGGATCTAAATCAAATGCATGTATGTATTCTAAATACAAAATGTGAAATCTAAAAATGTTCATTTTATGTTGTTAAAACTTACACTTTGAAACATTAATGCTCTCACATAAAAGAACGATCATCTATTGATTGTGGTTTAGTGTAACAATGTTCAGACATACAAATACTTCCATTCGGACACATTGAGTTGTGAACTGTAAGGGACCACTCAAATTTATTTATAATTTATACTATACAAGTGCACATAGTTTGACTTATACTATTTTAGCAATGATTTTATATTCTGAACAACGCCAGAAATAAAAATTAGATTCAATGTTTACCAAGACTATCTCTGTGCATCCCAAACTGCAGTCTGCCAAAAACTTCATAGCGAAAAATATTTTCATTGAACCATGAATCAATGAGGACAATTACATCAAAAACACTATTTAAGAATTAGGTATAAAAATGTCAGCTCAGTCTGAAATTCCTGTGATAAACGTTACACACTGTATTGTATCTCGCAAAATATTTCAGAGCTGAAACGCACAGATGAAATATATTAAATCTGAAGAAATTATCCGACTGGCATATAAAATCATGCACAAACTAAATGAAAATACTTTGTAATACAATCGCTTGCTTTAGTTTGAATTCAGTTCGTATATTTTAAGACATTATAGCATTTGATATGTTTTCTTGTAAAGTTGCTTACACAACTGATGACGTGATTCTGCAATGGGCAGCAGAAGATGATGATCTTGAAGCCTTTGCAGTCCCACAAGGGATATCATTACCACAATTTGAGTTTGTTGATGCAACAATTGTCAGACAGCTAATCACAAGGAACTACACAACAGGTAATTATGGCTTAGCGTTTGAAGTACTAGATTTGTTCTTATAAGCTAATAATCAAATTTACGCCACAGTATAACAGAGTACAATGTGTACACACTGGAAAAGCTTTTCTAGGTGTCAGACATTATAAACTGTACGGTAAATTAACAATGTAGAGGGAATGGTGTACCCACATGCATGAAATGATAAATCTTTCAAATGTATATAGTGCTCATTTTGTGTTTTGATTCCTGTTACTTATTATGTTGTTGCTCAACACTTTGCGGAGCCAAGTGTATTATGTAATTCGGATATTATCAATCAATTAATAATGTTGTGTTGTATTGACACCCAATACATAATTGGTGGTATATTATTAACCCCAAGTTTTGGTAGTCATATTTAATTAACAACATAAACGATCGTATATATAAACTTCTGCCACATGATCTAGAAACAAATTATAGTATTATTTGATGATGATTTATTACTGTTGTAATAAACAGATTGTGCTATGGTCATGACTTGAATCCACATATTTCTGCTTGCAGTTGTTTTTTCAATAAATTGTGATTGTGTCATTGTGTGTAAACGTGATGTTCTTGAATTACTGCATGTACAATAGTTTCAATACCTTACCTATTGAAAACCCCAATTTAGCTGCAAAATCTAATTTACTTTCACAAACATCACATCTAGAACTACAATAAAACAACATTCAGTATATGCCACTTGCCAGACTGTCTGGGATGCTGATGACATTTAATATTTTTACAGGTAGTTTCTCACACCTTACTGCGATATTCAGATTACAAAGACAGAAAGAGATGTTTATAATGTCAAATTACCTTCCGAGCTTACTAATTGTCGTTTTGTCATGGTTTTCGTTTTGGATCAACCCGAACTCTGAACCAGCTCGTGTTTCACTCGTGATGACTGCCTTGTTGACGTTGTGTACACAGATGAATGGAATCCATGGAACGATGCCACAAATAGCACATCTGAAGGTAAAATCTGAATCAAGTACGATTGCCCAATAAATATCACCAGTAACCAGTAACCATATATAAATGATATGGGTATATTGTATAGAACATCATTAGATCACATTTAATTGACTCGGTTGGACGATAGGTTTAACAAGGTCACAAGTTCAAAAATAATAGTTGCATATTCATGCAAAGGTGTGGGATGTAAATGCAGAGTGGGTAGGTTAACTTTTAGTTTTTATGTTTTATGTATTGTATATTATGTACATACGATATTGTGTCATGGAAATATCAATAATGTTGAGATAAAACTATCGTATCCTCTATTTCAGGCAATCGACGTGTGGATGTCAGCATGTCTTGTTTTTGTATTCGCTGCTTTAGTAGAATACGCCGCTGTTAACTACATTAGTTTACGGATAAAAAGGCAAAGTCGACGAAAGCAAACATCACCTGAAATGGTCAGTTCACTTAAAGACAAACAAAGCACTGTTGTAAGTGTGTGTAGTAGACAGTGTTTCTATATGAGCTGGTCAGATTCTACCATGTTTGTTTATAGATGTTATGTTTGCCCATTCTCGAGATTTACTTTCAAGCAGAAACAAATTACACCTGATGATATCTTAGCAGTTATATTTCACTCTGTCAATGTCTTTTGACATATATCTATATTAATATATGTTCAATGTAGGCCAACACTGGAAATAGAGATGAACAAAAACAACTACATCCTGCTGAATCTTCGCTTAGAGGATCTGACAACTCAGCCACTGAGTTATCTTATGGTTCTGAAAGAAGCTGCCTGTCTGTGTGTGAATTAAGTCCTGAACAAATTGATTACTACAGTCGAATCATATTTCCAGCCACATTTATGGTATTTAATGTGTTTTATTGGCCAACCTATTTGCATTGGGTGCAATGATGGAGGGTCAC